GAGAAGAGCCTATCATACTTTTATATTGCAAGAGCTCAAAGTGAATCAATCACCAAAGAAACTAATTTCTGTATACTGGTAGCTAGAATTGGGGAAATAAAGGGTAACAATAAAGAAGCATCAACTATTTGTAGTCTTCTCAAAAAGTTGCTTTAATGTTTATTGAGAGGGTATATGGGTACTGTACCTGGCAGGAATTAATTCCTTGAAATGCTAGAGCGCCGTAATGGCAGCCGTGATAAAGCCAGGGTAATAATCGGGAGCGCCAGGAGTGTCAAGTCTGACAGACATGAGAGCTATACAAGAACCCACTATTATTTATATTTAAGATTAATAATAATCTTTTATATTATATTATTATTATTATATAAACGGTAAAACATGTACATGTATCTCTATGTAGAAGTAATATTTGAAGCATATATTTTTAATACAGTATAGCAATATGGAACCCCTGACATCAAGAGCAAAACATATTTTGTGATCAGGATGTCAGTGATTGGTACACAACTACATCCTTAAAGGTAAAGACCAGTATTGGAAATGCCCCAATTTCAAAAAATGAAATGGAAGCTCTTATTACCAATCATGTGAAAGAGTAGGCCTATGTTTTGACTAATACATGATGATAACAATTTTGCTGGGGAACTGCCTACTATTTGATATATTTGGTAAATTAGTTTATCTATTGGTGTGTGAGAGATAAACGCACGTGTGCATAGTCCCATATACATCTTTCTGTGTACAGTGCTTGTAACTTTACGAAGACTGGGCCAAATTTCTATCATTTTGATGATTCCAGAACCTTGCAGTACACACCAATACTTATATGCTAGATGATCAACCTTTTCCGATCGATTCCACAACGTTACTTTCACAATGCAATCGCATGACCATAACTGGCCTTTATCTTTAAGCTTGTTCAGCCTAATATAAACGCACCCCTGTTCTGCTTGAGCTCTTTTAAGCTCCGGGAGAAAAGAATAAAAGAAAAGAAAGAAGAGGAAATCCTTTATCCCCTCACCATACCTAGTCTTCCATTCATATACAAATTTAGTTTGGTGGTGAGTGGGTAGGGGATTGTGGTATATCGAACGAACAGTGTCAGTGTGAATCTATTTGTCTCTCAATTTGTTGGTCCAGCCCCTATTGACGGCAGGTCCTTTGTGTTGTAATTTCCCGTCATATACATGTACATTGTAATTGTACATGAATGTAGACCTACATGTACATTATGTATGAACCATTTTGGATACTGTCTCAAAGACCAATGTCAATGAATATGTGTTTTTTTAAAGAAAAAATCTCATATTGTTGAAAATTAGCAAAAGCAAGTGTAATATTTATTATATACCTGTAGCTTTAGAACACTTGAAGTAAAACATTTTGTACACAGAGTAGGTTACATAAGAGTAGAATTTGATGTTCAACTTGCAACAAAATGTGGGCTTACTTGGGTTGGTGCTGTTTTTAAAACGTGTAGCTCATTCCCCCCCCCCCCCCCCCCAATATATTGTACCAATTTCAAAATCAAGACATCACTTCAATTTTGTCAAACTAAGTGGATTACAAAATTTAAAACTCAATTTAAATTTATGAATTCTAAATCATTCATGCCCTTCTCTGGAATCTATCTGCTCACGAACCTCAGCCAGTATCTACCAGTACATTGTACATGTAAAACACCAACTTTATGAACAATGAAAAAAAATACATCTTTGGCAAAAGGGTGCTCCTCTTTCCAAACTACAGGAATCAATTGTGGGAAAATAGAGAATGGATGGTAAATAATCAGATTATTTATGATAACTTATGTTTCCTCACCCAACACGCACACCCTACAGACGAGACCGTTTGTAGTAAAGTTTGACATTTCCTCTAGATAGCCCACCTGTTTATACATACACAATACCCCTTTCACATTGTCAGGGAAACTAATAATTTCATGAAAAATATATTCCTGAAAAAACTAATCCCTGAGAGGTTTTTCGACTCAAGATATATACATGTATGTACATTATAAGTGGCTCCAAATGCCGCTAAAAATGCATATGAAAATGGGAATTTACTGTGCGGTGTATGGAATGACAGTTGAACATTGTAAATAAAATATTGTGTGAATAGGTAAATTTAAGCAGAATATGTATGGAATTGATGAAATTTACAATTTTCTATGATCACTTGAACAACATGCAGGTCATGCCATGATAAAGGGTTCTTTGATAAGAAAGAGACTCTGAAATGTCGGAATTAGTCACAGGTCTTGATTTTTTACAACACCTGTATGAAACAAGTCTATTCTGTACATGTAATAAGAAATTGAAAATTTATGAAATTTTCTGTACACAGCAAATTGGAGAGGAGCTCGCAAGATAAGTCAGTGTTGCCAATTTATGTTTCACTGATAACAACTTGAACAATTCATAACTTTCCTATTTTTAATTGGATATTGCCCAAACTTCCGCTTATTTGTTTCTCTCATACATTGTATTCTGCTTTTATTAAAACCAAGATAATTTCAGGGTGGACTTCCTCTTTCTAATGGCAATACCAACTATATCACAGATGTTAGTTTTATTCCATTTAATATTTTAACAAATTACTACAGCTTGGGTCAGCCCAATGATTACACGTGTATTAATTCCATCATTATTCCATGACAGCTGGTTCTAAAGTCTTAAAGAAAAAACATACATACTGTAGGACACAATATTTTGAAGCATCCCAATAACCTGGAATTTTCATTAGGCTTGTAATCATAAATTCAATTATTTTTAGCTCATGTGAAATGGCCCCCAGAGTCTGGTTTGGTCGATCCAACTTGTTTAGTCTGGTTAGCCGAGTTTCCGTTAGGTGGGCAATAATAGCGGTAATATCCATGTCTGTCTGAAGACCCCACTTCCTTTCATACTGGCCTGGTTTAACTATTCAAGCCTTTGTACTTTCCTCTCATAACCTCTCCTCTGACAGAAATGTCAATTTAGTAGCTGAAAATGGTTCACAACTCTCTATTCTGTTATGTCTTATCCCCCCCCCCCCCCCCCCCCCCACTACGAAAGGGAAATCATCTAGCGTACCCTCATCAAAGCTACTTCTGTTTGGGTTTTAATTTCCTCTGCAGCTCTAAACTTTTAATTTGTTATGTATACATGTAGTGCATTGTATCTTTTGAATTAGAATATTAAGTTTAAAATCTGGCAAGTACATGTATAAGTAATATGTACAAATTTCGGGGAACATTAATTCTATCTCTATCTCTTTGTACACCATCTTCACTAAATAATCCATTAAGTTGGTGTGTATTTTGTACATGGATAATAATGGGTATAATATGGAACATTAGCATTATACAAATGCAAGCCGCTGAAATCAAACTGGCAAATTATAACCTAATACAGTTTTCATTATTTTAAGTATACTTTGTACAATTTACACGTATCATTTGACATAATTCTCAGACATATTAACACTTTTTTAAATGCTATCAAGGCTTTCTTTAAGTTACTTACTTACTAAATGTACTAACAACAAAGAAGGCTGGATAAAATGTTAGCTGTAGACTACCTTAAAGCCAATCAGGTCATTGAGAAAGATGTCAATGAATGGAGCCCAAATCACCACAAAGGTGATAACTAATTCCAATTACAAAACTAATTGTGTGGTTACTGACTGTTTAATGGGATAGAATTCAGGAATTAGGTTAACAGTTGGTGATTGAAATTGAAGGCTTTGCCGAACATGGTTGAAGCTGAACTTCCTGCGCTTATTGTTTTTACGTAATTCTAATCTTTATCTTGTCTAGCCTATATGTTTGAGATTGAGACAAAAACATTGTCCAAACAGTTTCCTGTGCCTACTGTGCATGAGTCATTAGGGGACTTGTCAAAACAATAAATTTACATATTGAAATATAATTGTCTATGATCTGGTGTTCTTGAATACTGTGTTTACAGTACACCTGTATCATCATATGAGAGGCAGAAAGAGCGTATGTACATGTAGATGCCTGAACAAGGATGTCTAGGGCCCATCTTATAAAGAGTTGATATCAATCGCAACTTATTTGAGATTGATATCAATTGTAACTACATGTTTGTACATTGTAAGAGATAGGAGACTGCAAACTTGCGATTGATTGGAGGACTTACAATTGATTATCTTCATAAGACGGGCCACAGGTCTGGCGGAAATAACCTGTTCAGATTGGACAGCCTTGAAACCCAATAGCAACAACAACAATTTCATGTCCATTCTGAGAAAAGTGCACCCACAATTTCAAATGATCATTCTCTCACTTCATCTACACAACACATTTCGGTCAGCCGCACATCGTCCACATTTTTAGCGGTAGGCCTACAGTACTACTACTACTTCTGCGATCAAAACTAAGATAGATATTTCACACACCCAAAAACAAAACTTTCTCCTGGCATGGGCAAAGGATCTAGGCTGCTAATATTTTGGGACACATCAAGTTAAGAAATCTATAATCTAAAGAAAGGTATGCTTACATGTACGTCGTAGTTACTTATGTCTACATGTTAAAATGAGTGAAAAAGTGCACTTCATAAATTATGTATCACTTTATATCAGGCTTTATGAATTTATACATTTTCTACTTTGAAAGTTTTTTCTGATCTTAGCGTTATTTCATTTAGAAGTACCGGTATACTGTAAATACCATACAACAAAATCAAATTTAACATTTTAATGCCCCTTCTTTTCATCTGTTCTCCCTCTCTCTCTCTCTCTCTCTCTCTCTCTCTCTATACCTCATTCTCTTTCTGTTGTGTCACTTCTCAAAAACATATTGATTCTCATAGCTTAGTTTCACATGTACAATATGTAGGTGGTTATGTACTATTGTAGTCATCAGTTTACATCAACATGCTTACTTCTGCTACATCCCACATTGTAAACCCCCCTTTTCTTTCTTTGTTCTTCATTATTTTATTTTATTTTATTTTATTTTTTTGAAGAGAGAAAATACAGGTACATACCTAAATGTATGGTGAGATTGACTGAGTTTGGATACTGAATATCTTCATACATCGTTTCACTCTGCCATCTCGTCATCCTTTCTTCACTGTGAAAATCCGTAAGGTATCGAGCGGGATGCGAGCCGCTCTGGCAGTTATAGCACTGCCCACGGCCCCGGGCTCCCCCCTGCACGCCTGTCTGCCTACAGTACCGGGTGTCGCGGTATTCTCCGCAGGTATTCGTCGCCTCTACGCTCAAGTTGAAAGCTGCATTTTCGAACTCGGGAACGCATCTTTGAGGTCTGGATAGATCGTCATAGCAAGGTATAGAATTCTGGTTGGCACGACAGAGTGCCACCATACCAAGAACTAGGAGAAACTTCATGATGACTCTGTAAAGTTCCAAGGAACTTCCACTATCAGCACATTAATCCACCTGCCACAGGAACCAATCGCATAAGCTACCCTTGTATATTCGGGCGAGACTGGTGCGAGTACCCCTATTCAATTCTGTGTCGAGCCGAACCACCAATGCAACTCTACAGCGTTCGCGTTACGTTAGCTAGCATGCAGCGAGCGAGTTGTGATCGCTTGTAGCTAGGTCGCTGCTAAATAAAGTTTTCTAACTTTTTGTACGCACGCCATATAGCGCAGAAAAAGTGCGTGCAGGTGTACTTTAGTCCCATACCAATTTCAAAGCTGACAAATCAAAGTAGTGTTAATCGCCAAACGTTAGGGTACTATTACGTGTTTATAAACTCCATTTATCATTTCATTTCTGATAAAATTATTTTTCGAATTGCACATTTACATAGGTATCGTCTTCCTGAATCCATATGTTACACTAATTTGGTTTAAAATGTCCCTTTCAAATTTATAATGGAAATAAAAAAGCGGTCTGTTTGCCCGTTTTCATAAAAATATAATTAAAGGCAGTTTACAATCTCATCATGATTTTTTTATTTGAGGAGAAAATGTCATAAGCGTCGTAAATGTTACTAGAAACAGATTTAAAAGATGATCTATACTGCATTGCTTGACGCAGAGGCGGCGGAGCGTCTTTCAAAGTGGGGGTACAAATACAAAAGGGGCACTTACCTCAAAGCGAAACTTGTAAACAGTGGTATATATACCCCTACATTGTAATTACATTGTCAGGGTTGATTTTTGTTTCACTCTTTACATGGTTCAAGATACTGCTGAAGCATCATGCTTTGCGGTCTGAATATTCATCTGCGAGCGAGCAACAATTTTAAGATTTGTGAGGTCGCAGTACGAAAAATTACATCTTTTAAAAAGGAAAATAACAATCCTGATGGGAGTATGAGCACAATCTAATCATGAAAGAATGAAAAGACCTTTCATAAGAAACAACATTATATGAACTTGTGAAATTAAATACAAAGTTGCTCTTAGTCGATTTAAATTGAGTACATTTTATGGTAAAAGGAAAAGGGGACATTTATCCAAAGGGAAAGGGACACTTATTAGAAAAGAAAAGAAGCAGGTTTCAAAATAAAAAGGGGAATTGTCTGAGGTGAAAATAAGGCACTTCCCTAACCTAATAAGAGGCACTCACCAGATATGAAAAGGGGCACTTATCAAAAGAAAGAAAAGGGTCACTTATTAAAAGAAAGAAAAGGGGCATTTATCAAAAGAAAGAAAAGGGGCAATTATCAGAAAGAAAATGGCACTTATTAGAAAAAATAAGGGAGTACTTTTCAAAATAAAAAGGGCACTTATCATATATAAAAATGGGCCCTCATTTCAAAGTTAAAGAGAGCACCTCGCAAATTTAAATAACCGAAGAAGAAAAGGTGCACTTATAAAAATGAAAAGGGGGTAGTACAAAAAAAAGGCACTTGCAAAATATAAGGGACAACTCTCAGATTTGAAAGAGGCAATTGACGTGAAGGGGCACTTATCAGAGATGATAAGGGGCACTTCTTGTATCTGAAAAGGGGCACTCACCTGGGATGAATAGTGGCACTTGTGAGAACGGAAGGGGCACTCATTAAAAAGGAAAATGGGCACGTGTCAAAGGAAAGATGTTCCTATCAGATTTTAATAGAGGCATTTCATCAGAAATGGGAAGGGGTGCATTTATGTAAAAGGGAAGGGGCTCTTTTTTTTTTTTTATAGTCATTTATCAGGAGGAAAAGGGCACTTATTAAAAAGAAAAAAGGAGGCACTTTTCAGAGGTCACAAGGGCACTGATCAGAAATGAAAAGAGGAACGTATTACAAAGGCACCTCTCAGAATTGAATGTGGGCAATAATATCATTGGTGAAGGGGGCATTCAAATGTTGGAAGGGGCATTTAAAAGAATGTGGAATGGGCACCTATTACAAATAAAATGGGGCACTTATCTGCAGTAAGAGGATAACTTTAGGGGTACTTGAACACCCCCCCCCCTCCCCTCCCCACACCCCCACACATCCGGGGTGGCTTGACGCTAGCAGTGGACCAAGTTCCTTCGTCAGTGCAACCTGTATTTACATAGTGAGATATAAGGAAATACGGAGCACTAATTTTTTTTTCCCCAATTCGTGAGAATTTTTTAGCGGCGAGTGGGGAGGGGCGGGGGGGGGGGGGGGAGAGGGTGTAAGCATCATTATTTTTTTTTGGGGGGGGGGGCTCAACGAGGGGGAAGGAGCCCCCCCCCCCCCCCCCGCCTGGATCCGCGCCTTGGAATGTTAGGTGTCCGGACATAGATTCAGCTCAAAAAAGAATTTATGCCTCGTATGACTCTTATATCGGAGACTGAATTTCCACTGCTCACTATACGATCTGACTACAATCCGATTTTGGAAGAATTGCAATTATAGCATTTTATTCGAAAAGAAAAAAACAACGAACAATTAGTGCTTGCAGCTTCCTTAGAAGAGGTAAAGCCAAGTCGGCTCAGAATCGTTGTGACATCATAAATCGCACTAGTAATGCGATTGTATACGTTAGTAGAATTGCCTATATTGAAACCGAATTTAAAGTACCCCCTCTGTTGTTGAGGTGATCGCGACGCATATACCGTAATAATAGGCAGTAAGATGAGAGGTAATATAAAGTTTTGGGAAATTTGGGAAATTGGGTGGATACTGATTCTTTACAATTTTGATATATTTGGATGTGGATGTATTATAAGCACAAGAAAATTTAGCCCCTAAAACGCTTCTGCTTTCGAGAAAAATTGACTTCTTCTTCTTCTTTTTCTTCTTTTTCTTCTTCTTCTTCTTCTTCTTCTTCTTCTTCTTCTTCTTGATCTTCTTCTTCTTCTTCTTCTTCTTCTTCTTCTTCTTCTTCTTCTTCTTCTTCTTCTTGATCTTCTTCTTCTTCTTCTTCTTCTTCTTCTTTTTCTTCTTCTTCTTCTTCTTCTTCTTCTTCTTCTTCTTCTTCTTCTTCTTCTTCTTCTTCTTCTTCTTCTTCTTCTTCTTCTTCTTCTTCTTCTTCTTCTTCTTCTTCTTCTTCTTCTTCTTCTTCTTCTTCTTCTTCTTCTTCTTCTTCTTCTTCTTCTTCTTCTTCTTCTTCTTCTTCTTTCTTCTTCTTCTTCTTCTTCTTCTTCTTTCTTCTTCTTCTTCTTCTTCTTCGCCTTCTTCTTCTTCTTCTTCTTCTTCGCCTTCTTCTTCGCCTTTTCGGGCCGTGGCCTAGTTGCCACCAAATTTTCTTTCTGGACACGCCCATTATTCACAAGTCTAAGTCAAGGACGTACGGTATTATTATTCTTTTTATTTAATTGTTGAGGATTGAACCAGCTCAAAAAAAAATATCACAATATATTTTATGTATTGAAATCTTTAAAAAAGGATAAATTTTTTCCAAAATTCAAATTTTTAGCCCATTTTAAACATTTAAAGATGGTGATAAAAACTTTACTCCTAAAAATAATATCTAGAAACCATAACAAGGCAATCGTACGATACTTATTTTATCGACCAACTCTGCTCTATATCTGTATTTGTTTCTGTGGCGAGATCGAGAATCAGGGTCGCGGCTCCAGGGCAGTGCTACTTCTACTGTAAGTATTACTTATCTTCCTAGATTTACTATTACTTAATACATAAATTGAATGAATATATGAAATGGAATGTAATTAGCACCTACTTGTGTTGCCTTTTTGTCAGGAAAATTACACGTTACTTAAAAAGTGAATCTGCCCGGCCCAGTATCGTACTCTTTGAAAAACCTAGCCCGCCGTGTCCCCGGGATCGGGAACAGAGTTTGGCGAAAGGGTGAGCGGCTACATGGGCGTGCATGAGAGTTGAGGTTGGTGGCTGCTGACTGACTAATTACTAAGCTCTTTAGTTTTCTTCTTCGGTACAGTTTGCTTCCTTCAACCTTGAAGAGGCTTGTAGGGTGCATGTGCATGATGTCTTGTTTTATTTTACTGATGTAGATCTAAATCTTCCAAGCCAAGGCCAGGGCGTTTCAATTTTCATTCATGGATGGAGCTTGGATTTTTCATTTGGAGTTTTTTTTTTTTTGGGGGGGGGGGGAGCAAACAAACAAGCATATTATTTTACTTCATTCATTGCCAACACCGTGGCATGAGGTGACAATTGGTCTTTAGTTTGCCAATGGTTTAACTATTTTTTTTTAAGAGAAAAAACAGACTGTGCTATTTAAAAACTGCTGTCATCAGTCAGCCAGCAATGTTGTAAGTAAAGCCTCAGTCACAAATGCCTTTACAAACTGCTACGAACGCCGTACGAACGATTTTCAGACAATGGAAATTTGGGAAGACAATGTAAAAACAGGGAGATTCGTACTAAAGTATCGTTCATACGAAGCTTTGTGATCGTAACATAAGTTGATTGAACACAAGTCTTCAATAGGAACTTGTTTTTTTTAATTTTTCTTTTCTTTTTTTATCAATTGTCATTTGTGATAAAAAAACTTGTGAATTTGATTCTGCTCTTGTATTAAATTTTGTATTTTTAATACTTTTCAGGGCTCTCACTTAACTTTTTTTCTTGGTTGCCAGCCGGGCATCCTATACAGTTTTTTAGGTTGCCAAATGGCAGTTTAGGTGGTCACAGTGAATATGTTTAAAGGGGTTTGTGTAATGCATAAATCTGCCATCGGGTCTGTCGCAATTGTCGCGCCATCGAAATTACCATCCTCCATGGTAACCATGGTAATCATGGTACCAAACAATAAAATACATTGTTTGATGACCCTATATTTATCGTTTGATACTATGGTAACCATGGTGGATGGTAATTTGGACAACAAAATCATGGTTACCATGGCACTTTTTTTTGTTATAAGGGGCGCTACTTGAAATCTTGAATTAAAATATTAAAACTAGAGGGTCTATAAAAAAATCATAATTAACTCAGTGCCCGGTACAACAGTCAGGGAAAAAATTAAGTTTTTCATTTCAGGGGCTCCATTTCAGGTTTTGGGGACATTTTTGGGGGGCTACTTTTTCAACTTCCGAGAGCTTTTTTTTCATTTCGAGGGCTCTTTTTTCTGGGGCTACTTTTTCATTAATTCATAAAAGGATAGTTTGTTGAGATTTTTTTTTGTATGCTAAGGTTTAATTCGGGCTTCCTGCGTCATAATTACCCATTCAAAAAGAAAGCATTTATCTAGTTAAAAACCTAAGTTTTAATGCATTTGACTGTAACATAATAGATTGTGATTATTCTGGCCATGACCATGTTCAGATCTTCTACTGAATTTCGATAATCATTTTTTTCAAAGTAAAATTTTCACAAGAAAATCAGACAGTCGTTTAAAAACTAAGACATAAGTAACACTTTTACTAGTTCTAAGCTCAGGTTTCATACCTCGATTCACGAACCTACTTTGAAATCACGGCAATAATGATGCAAACAGATAGCAATTTCAAAGTGTTGTCAAGTCTCTTCGACTCTAGCTCAGCTCAGCTCAGCTCACACAGCAGCTGCAGTGACACTGCACTGTGCAACTGAACTGTCAGTTACGATCATTTTCTCCGATTTTCTTGTGAAAACTTATTTGAAAAATGAATATCATGGCGAGAATAATCACAAAATAAGCTTTGATTTCATACCTCTATTCACGAAAACTATATACAATAGCGGCAATCATGATGGAAATTGATTGCAGTTTGGCGATCTTTTTTAGCAAATGGTCTAGGTTCAGCTAATATGATCTATCGAAACAAAATCGACCGCAAAAAACTCGATCCCTGCGCTCCGTCTCGCAACCGCGAAAATGTACGTGTTTTCGCGTACACGTGCGTGCGACATGGTAAGCCAGGTGAATCAAGTTTTTTATGACCGAATTTGTGTATACAATTTTAGACGGAGATTCAGCGCGCGTGTGCGTGCCGACCAAGAAATGCACACAATGAATACAAAGCTAGTAGAGAGCGGCCGCTCGTAATCGTTACGGGGGCCGGGGCTATTTGAGATCATTTCCTTTTTTTGACATTTATTTTGTTGGTTGCCAGCCGGGCAGCCAAGACGGGACTTTTAGGTTGCCCGGTGGCGTTTTAGGTGGTCAATGGCACCCGGGCAACCGCTAATTTCGAGCCCTGCTTTTATACTTGATATACTTGTACCTATCAATGCTAAGTTTAAATTGTTAATTCTATTTCAATAACTTCATTTGATTTCATTTTTTTTATATCTGTGACCCTACACCACGGAACCATGATTAAGTTGCCAAAAATGATTTATTATCCATGTGAAAGATATTGATCTCAGTTTTAAGGGGATCCGGTAACTTTGTCTCAGATTCTAAAACAAAATCCTGGATTTAGCTCATGCTGCAATGATAAGCATAAACCTTTATAGGTTATACATGAATCCAATGACTTTTATGAGCCAATCGTCTGTCTGATTTACAAGATATCTATGATTGGAATTAGAAATTAACACTGCAGTATATTGGGGAAAATGAGTATAGTAAAAACAGACCCTCAAAGATTTTTTACTTTTTTGAGGCACTTTATGATTATTTTGAAGGGCAAAGTGTTTTATAGGGCTTCAATATTACACCATATCACAGCCACTAATAACACGTAGGGCCATGCATCTCAGATTTAACATTGTTAAACGATGCCTTTAATAATTGAATGTTCCTAACCTACCGGTGTGTTGGCTCAGGCAGTAGAGCGTCCGCCTCACAACCAGGAGGCCGCGTCGTACCAAAAGACGTTGAAGACGGGAGTTGCTGCTACCTTGTTTGGCGTTCAACAATAAGGGATAAAGCAACGTCGATCTGGCGCTGCTCAGTGGCTGCCAGGCTCACGATCAATTGGTTTAATAAAATTTGGAGTGGACTTTAATTAGATTTTTATTATTATTATTATCATTATTACAGGGATGAAGAGATTGTTCTACATGCGGTTCACATGAATGTTTGACCCTCCTTTTCAGATCACAGACTGTTTAGAAGACTTTTGAGAGGATGGGTGAGATGAAGGATGTGATCATTGTAGGCGGAGGTCTAGGAGGGCTCATCGCGGCTCATCTCCTGCTGAAAGAGAGAAGTGGACTCAAAATTCAAATCCTAGAGGCATCAGGTAATAAAGCAGCGACATAGTTAAAGCAGGGCTGCACTACTTTTAGTTACTTGCGCCCTCTATATAGCAAACAATGCCTAAGCGGTACCCGTTGGTACCTCATGATCCCCTTTTTCTAATGTTAATTGAGAGCTTATTTGTTGAGATTGACCACCTGTCAGTGACCATGCAGGAGGTCTAACCCCTCCTGGCCAAACTGGTGCAGACAAGCTTTAATGGAAAAAGAAAAAGAAAGAAAGAGTGAGAAATCAGAAATGAGAAAGGGAAAGGGAGAAGGGGAAAGGCTGAAAGGGATGAGGAAAGAAGATGCCTGGACCATCTCTCCCACCCATCTCCTAATCAGTAACCTTACAAATCTGCATTTTATTTTCTAAGTAAGGCCGGCGCCACTCCCCCCCCCCCCCCCCCCCCCGCGTCTTACGTAGACGTATTATACCCGATTAGCCCCTGAGTCAGGCCACGGGAAAGACACATAGTCTCGTCATGCTTCACCCCCTTTAAAGTACCTGGCTAGAGACTGAGACAAACTGATGAAAAAAAAGGGGGATGACACTTTTGTGGACGATCTGAGACTGCCAAACTATGTTTATATGGATCATGCGATACACCACATTGCGTAGATTACATTCATATTTTTAAATCCCTTTTTGCTCATTTCTCAACAGTTTTAAAGTTTCTACCAGAATCATTTATTTGAAGTCTTGAACATTAAGAGCGATGGTTATTTGATGCAATGTTTGAAGTCAATTCCCTGTCTTTACCGGAATTCAAGATTTCATGAATGTTTAACGGAAGCTATTCACAATGTATCCACATCTGTTGGCCTGACTGGCAGGAAGTCTGTTTTTTCATACATTTCAATGAATATATCTAGGCAGGCTATTTTGTTCATACATGTATTCTGCATTTTGATATATTTTGCAGGACATATGCTTACAGTGTATGATTTTTTTAATAATAATAATAATAATTACATTTATAGGGCGCTTTATACAGACGTTTCAAATCGCACAAGTGGAACTGTCTAACTTAGTATAATAATTCAACATGTTCAATACCTTAAAAGCAACAAAATCAACAAAAAAAATATATGTATTATTAATACAATATAATACAGTTGAGTTGAATGGAATTAACTAATTGTGTGCACCTTCAGTAAACTATAACTGATGAAAAAGGTGAGTTTTGAGAAGGGTTTTGAATGATTCAATATGTGATACCAAGTGAGGACAATGGCTTCTCCAGACAGTAATCTTAATGACCTTTGGGTAAGAAAGAAAGAAACAGAATTATGTAGGTTTAAATACCTATAGAGTGTGCATTATAGGAAATGATCTCTCATTAGAGATTATATCAGATGGACTTTGTTCTACTTAGAGGTTAAATTATCTTAAGCACAGGTCAATGTACAAACTGTTTGCTCATAAAATTAAAGGGGAATCAACATCTTCCTATAGACAAATTCAACTTTGAATTAAAAGGATTACAAAGTTTGAAAGTCAGAATAACTCAGTCATGATATGAGAAATTTCCTTTTAACATTTCACTGTGTATATAGTTGACCATGTGTTGCATTTAGACCATATATGTTGCATTCAGTCCATTTTGTAATTTCTACCCGAAGTTTATTGGTACCTACTTTCACCATTGGATTTGAGGAAAGGCAAAATTTGAGTAATTTTGGATAACAAAAAAATTAAAGAGACGTATCATGGCAAGCACCAGCGCAAAATAACAAGGTCATCATATGCCAGAAAGATGAGAAAAGCATTGAAACAAAAATTGAGCTTCAAACAAGATACCTACTGATGTTTCTGGTGCCCGTCATCTATTGTCCATTCATTGTTGTTTATCATGTGTAAACATTAAGATTTTAATCTTCTTTTAATCCCATGGTCAGAGTTTTGCAGACTTGGCAGGAATCATTCTTGAGTGGTCACTGGTGAAGTGTGACGTTATCAAAAATCTTTTTTATGAATTTCTCAATTTTTACTTCATTTTCCGAAAGAGCATAACAAATTGTGTCCAAATGTCGAAAGCCAATTGATAAGTATTGGCTGAGATATATATGACCATCTGAAGATATAGATTTCCTATAGGAACTTGATGTTATTTGCTCTGGTTTATAACATTAGGAACCAGAGCAAAATAACACTGAGCTCCTATAGGAAATCTATTTCTTCAGATGGTCATATCTCAGCCAACACTTAACATATTCAATTGGCTTTCGACATTTGGACATAATTTTTGAAGCTCTTTCGGAAAAATAGATTTGTATGACGTCACAGCTTCGGTACTCTATGGACAAGGGTTTCAAAATTCTATAAATGGTAACCATGGCCCCCTTGGGACCAGGGGCATAATCATGTCTTGTCCATGTACGCAGTTGCTTTAGAGGTGAACAGAAATATACATTTATATCAATATATATATTTATATAATCTAATAGAGATATATGGAATCTGGAAGTAGATGGCATAAGAGGGGAAGGAAGACCAAAAATTTCATGTAAGGAAGAAGAAAGAAAGCAGTAGGGTTTGTCTAAATGAGGAGGATGCTCGAAACAAGAAAAAGTGGAGGGAGGAAGTGTCATCATGGCGTGAAAGCCATTAACCCCTCATTAGAGGGAAAATGCTGAATTTAAATGATTTAAAAAGCGGTTTGTGAAATACCAATTGTCAATGTTTATATTTTCTCTTGTTTATCAGATCGTGTTTGTGGTGCACTGAAGACTGTTGAGCTGGAGGCTGCCAATGGAAAGGATCACTTTGATATCGGGTCGTCCAGAGTTGGAAGGTGTGTTCATTAATTAGAAAAAATTAATTACCTCTGAGGCTCTCTTTAGAGATCTAGCCATCTAATTGGTCGAAATTGGAGTGGTGATTTTAGCCATTCTCGTAAAGACACGCACAATGCCAGTAACGGTCAATAGTTCTTGAGTGAGATTCCCTAAAGATTCCGGGTACCGGGAAAATAGTAACATTTTGATGAGATCCCCATTGGTTTACGTATTAAAATTTTCTTTGTGCGAGCGCGGACACCATACAGTGCTGATTGCCTGCGATTCCCAAATGATTGTAACATTCAGTAATCTTTCCAGCGAAGATTGACAGACAGTGTCTCAGATTTTCTGTGATGTTTTAACCAATCTTTACTCAAGAAAAGGATAAGGTAAGAATTCTTGGAAGATTTTGTTGTCGATTCTGTATATAAACAGATATATCAACTGCTTTAATATTCAATGCCTGGCTGTTGGCTCTCGGGGATGTGCACGTCCCCTTGATCCTCTAAAACAGCCATGCCTCTCATAGCAGTTGATATATCTGTAATATATATTCTGTTGGGAGCCACAAGGCTTTTAACTTGTACATGTTAACCCCCCTTGTGGCACCCAATCCTATGCCAAATAGACCATACTTGCTGAAAGCCAGGAAGGCTCTAATTCTAGGATAAAATGATATTGCTAGTAATTAATTGCTAGTACTTTGCTATGCTAGTATACTAGCGAGTTAATACTAGTATACAGAGAAAATATATTAGCTTCCAAGAAAATTGAGGGAGAGAATGCAAGAATCAAATGACATAGAGAGATAGATAGGTACCGGTAGATAAAGAGAGAGAGAGAGAGAGAGAGAGAGAGAGCGAGATGAAGAGATAAAGTGATAGATACATGAATAAATAGATAGCAGGGTGGTTCACATAATTGTATGAAATATCATTCACTCTCAACCAAAATTATTTCTGAAATGTTTGTCATAAAATACTCCAAAATATTGCTTGGTTTGCACTGGTCAGAGAGCATGTAAAAACCCTAGAGCTGACAAGTGAGCCCTGGACCCAGGCAACAAAAGCTTTGCACTCATCTGTTCTCCTTCTTAGTTTCAATTTTACATGTTTGAATTTTTTGTGTGTGGTCCACCTTGAATTAGATAGATGTAATAGATACAAAGAGACAAGTAAAGAGAGAGAGAGAGAGAGAGCATGCAAAATATAGATCCAGTATGGGATTTTTGATGTTGTTTTTATAAATTTAATGTGCATACTAGGTCTAGCTCCATAACCCTACCCTTCTCTTTTCCTTCAATATGAATCCCCAGTGCCCAGCCTCTGATGATAGCCTTACTCAAGGAGTTTGGAGTAGAGACATACCCACATTATGACAAGGGAAGCAAGCACTGGCAGCTCCCTGACGGCAAGATCAAGAAATATTCTGGAGCCATTCCTCCGCTAGCCTACACTGCACTTGTGGATCTCCTGAGATACTTCAGAAAGGTTGGAAACAGGATATTTACATTTAGAACTGTGTTTTAAGTGCAATCTTGCAATTCCCACCAATCTTATTCATGAATTATGCAATAGCATATCTCATTAAAGGGACTTGATAACATTGTTCAGATGAGAGAAAATGGTGATAGGTATTGACTTCAATGCTACTGTAGATGTACAATTAAAGATAATCTGAAAGTTTGAGTGAAAGCAGACCATTATTAATGATACAAATTGGGAAAAAAGATCTGATCGATTTCTTAATTCTCCCAACTGTATTATTACTGTCTAATTACAATTTAGGTGAATGAAAATTGTCCCAAAGCAATGCATTGGCTCTATATACCATTCCAACCATTTAAGTGTTGAAAGTATTTTAAGAGCCTATTATATGTCTTATTTTTATGGAAAAGTGGTTGGAAAATTCAAAATGGTTGGGAAAATTTACTGTTAGAGGGTGGACAGTGGATTTTTTCAGTTTTATTTTGCATGTTTAATAGAGGGCTAGTACAGTAGAAGGAGTATAATAAGTAACATTTCATACAAAAATTATGCTGTTTTTTCATCAACCTTCATCAATGTTACCGAGTCACTTTAAGCCTGATTATAAATGAAACCGTGTAAAGGCTATATATAGTCTCAAACAAACCTACACCATTAAACTTCAAGCTCACTCACACATGATATATAGTGACACTTTCAAGGCTACTTATTATTTCAAGTTCATGTATATACAAATGGCAACAGCTTCAATATTAAATGTAAGTTTTTCTCACTTAAATCATTGGTCTAGAAACAATTATTTGCCAATTTTTGTATATTATATTACATTTTCCATGACGATGAAAATACATTGTAACTAATGCAAAGGGGCAACACACACGTGAACAAATGTTTGTTGATAGTTGATATTCAATATTTGATATGAGTGGCATGTTATTTTGTTAGGGATGTTATTTGGATCGGCAAAGACTGGATTAATACCCAAATCCCAATTGTTTTATTCAAACATCAACTAAGCAACTTTGGCGCAAGTCGATGCTTGCACTCTCGCAAAATAATGCCTCCTGTTCATCCAAGCTTGAGCAATTACCTCACAAAATAAAACTAAATGATTTGGGATAAAACACTCTTTCATAAGATGTATAATAGTTTACTGTTCATAGATGATTTTTAAAATAATTAGCAATTTTCTAGGTGTAAACTTTTTTTTGACTCACACTGTAGTTTTGCTAAAGTATGTAATTTGTAATTTTACAACAAAACTTCAAAAACCTGTGAGGGGGTAGAATAGAGCTATATAATAAGACTTATCATATAGCTCTATGAAAGGTAGTCACTTCCGTCACCTCCTCCCCTTTCACTGGCAAACTGATGGGGGGGGGGGGGGGAAGTACCCCCCCCCCCCCCAATAAAATTCAAAAATGGATTATTTCTAATTTGATACCAGTGATTGACAAATGTTGCTAAAATGGCATTATTTTTTCCCTCAGCTCCTGCGGGCTCTACCCCCCTGGACCCCACCAAGGGCCCTTAGACGGGGCCCCTGGTTGCCCAACTGACCGTAATTAAATTCCTAAAATCCCTGAGCTTCTGGGGGCGCCGCCCCTAGACCTCACTCCAATTAGTGCGCCTCCTAGCAAAACTAGTGCAGATAGGCTTTAAAATATTTTTAATTAACCATAATTGAGTTACATGTATGCATATTAGGAATATGAAATCACTAAATCAATATAAATATTATATCAATTTGGTCAGAGGATTGTGACGTAATCATGGAAAACTCTCCTGTTTTTCATGTACAAAAAATTTCTTTCATTTACTTTTTCTTTTCCGAAGTGTCTCCTCACTTGAGACACTACCAGTACTCAAAATAAATTATGGATAGCATATTATTATAGGAAAGAGAAAAGAATATCCTGAGTCATATTCATCCTGAGTCATACAGTCCAGCCATCGTGTAGTGCCCATACGTATGGTGATTCCAACTTTTAACCCTATTGTAACCGGGGGTGGAGGGGGGACCCCCTCCCCCCTCTCCTGTAGTAATTTAGCGACTACTCTGGGAACTGCGGCAGATATAAAGTTTTCCTTTCACAACTTTTTTCTTTGAAGTCTTGTGCAACTTTTGCTTCTAAATTTGTGAAGTTTGAACCAAGCATTACAAGGTCACATGACCAATAAATGTCAAATGTCATCCAAAAACAGTGACTGTTTCATACATGCATGTGTAATCGAATGGACATGTTACGATAATATATCCAAATTTATGCATGCTCATGTAAATATGTTACCATATGTACTATAATAAACAATGTAAATACCTACATGTAAATCTCAAACTTATCCATGTCTGTGATTCCTTTTGAGTCAAATACTTTTTATTGTGTTTTTCTTTGAAATTGAGAAAAATTAGCAAAAATTAGCGTACTTCTGTCATTTATATGAAAACATGAACGCGTTGTTAATACTTCAATGTACCTCCATGCAAAATTTCACATGAATCAGACATTCGGTCTCCGAGATCTTGGGGGGGGGGGGTAAAATTGACCCCCCCCCCCCCCCTGTAAAAACCTGGTCTGAAATAGCCCGGTTAAAATAAGGTTAAATAATCACAATCAATTTGTTAGCCTATTTCTTTCATATTTTCACAAGCCTGTTTTTCTGACTTTTCTTCATTCTTTTAGAGTAGTTGTCTATTGAGGTTGGAATTTTCTTTAGAGAGTTAAAATAATGTATCATATCCTGCATATTTGTGACAGATGGACAAACTTGCAGAGAAGGTCAACTTCAAGGATATAGCTGCGACAGAGAACTGTTCTGAATGGGATGACACCACAATGGAGCAGTTCATTCCCAAGTTTCTATGGACTCAGGGTGAGTTATCCTAAGGCGAGGCGTCAAAAATATCGATACCAGCAGGCTGCCGCCTCACGTATTGGCGCATCGAGGCTGCAATTACGGCCGAAGCCTGGCTGGGGCAATTATTTTTCACTTATTAGCCCAGCCGGCTTGCGCCAGGCTGGGATCTGAGGCTCGGTTTCCATTCAAAAGGCGGCAGCCGGCGCATGCTTTTGAATGCCATTTCCTATCGCCAGCGGTAGCCGGCTGAGCTAATTTAAAAAATGCAGCCAGGACGCACAAGTGCAGTTAGCTGCCGCTGGCTGGTATATTTATTTTTGACGCCTCGCCTAAGATCACATCATACTATCTGAAGCTGCGGTTGGGTCCTGTTGTTGCACTCTCCTCACAAGCATAATTCTCAGTTACCTGCAAGAACCCTTGGGATGAACTGAAACTTCCGTGCAGACACTTTAGGCCGTTAAAAAAAATATACATGTTAAGTGTCCCCGCCAGCTTCCTTCTTGGGGGCCGCTTCCTATGAAGAAAAAAAATTGGAAATTTTACAATTTTTTTTTTTTTTTTTAAAGAAAAAAAAACATGAAAAACACTGCTAAAAGGGATCTATTTCTGATTTAAAAAAAAAAAAAAAAAAGGAAATGTCGGCGGCCATCTTGAAACATAGCCGGACTGTCAGGGAAAATGTACCGAGCAGCCGTTTTCAAGAAAAGAAGAAAAAAAGGGCATCCTCCTTCCTATTTCTAAAAAAGCAGGACGCTAAACATGTTTTTTTTTTTTTTTTGGCCCTACTACTGCCCTGCGGCATGAAGCCAATGTGATGTTTGCAAGAAGTATGTTGGCTGTTTGTGTCACATACATTCATCAAATGAGTGGCAAGATAATGGAGAAAGTTGGACATATCCATCAGCCTCCTGCTGGTGCTTGCATGTTCTGCATTCATAGAGAAAACTTGCAGACCTATGCTATCAACTCAGAGATTTTCTTAAATATCGATTGTAGACGAGATGTACAGCAGAGTCCAGCCAAATTTGACCATGGCATAATCTGTTGGACAAGTAAATCTACTGGAGGGGGGAGGGGGGGGGGGGGGGTCAATTCGAACGCATTGTTTACCATTCAATGCCACTTAGTTTACAGACAATTATCAAGAGTTTGGTCCAAACTGTTGAGCTATTTCTTGTCATATTTCGATTGGGAGGGTGTTAAAGAGAGCAATCCTTATCACAGGATATTTCTTCTATTATACATTCTTCCAAACCAAGATAAAAAGAGTTTTAATAAAAAAGCTCACAGCCTATTCTTTAAAGACAAACTAAGCTTGTTACGTCAGGCGTGTTTTTAGTATCATATAATGTTGCCTTTCTTCAACATGAGTTTACTCTGCCACACTACTTATGGTATGCTCCACAAAATTCTTATGTTACATGTAATAGAAATGTTAAGTTAATTTTGTTGTTTGATAGATGAGTGATACGTAACATCATTTGAGCAGCAGCTAACCTTTTGATTGGGACTCTCCTACAGGGAGTCCAGGGGGTGTTTCACAAAGACTAAGATCGACTTTAAGTTGGACTTAACTATGGTAGGCCGTTCATGCCACTGGTTGCTCCCACCATTGGTCTCTCATTTATGATCTTTAGATATTATTTTTTCCTTAAATAATGAACTATCAAAAAAATGTAAATTCTGTAGATTTGTGACCACGAATTGTACATCCTGTGAGAAACCAATGCCAGGAATGATTAGAGAAAACAGTGGCATAAACAGCCTGCCATAGTTAAGTCCAACTTAAGTTGATCTTAGTCTTTGTGAAACACTCCCCAGCCTCTTTTACAGCTGCAAGAACATTTCTTAAAATCAAGGTCATTGCCTTGGCATGAAGATAACTCAAAAGAGTCTAAACCAATTGAACACAGCATCTTTGCTATTTCTATCACTCACTTTTCTGGTATCACCATCTGTCAACGATTATCTGTTGATACCTGAACTGGCTATCGTTCGAAATTGCCCAATATTTATATGCATAAAAGAAAAGAAGCGAGAAACCCCCCTGACCTGAACCTTGGACCATTCCTTACAGGAGCGAAGGACATGGCCTGTACAATGATCGGAACCTTCTGCGCGATGCCTCCTGACCAGATCACTGTTCTCCAGTACATGTGCATGATCCACAGCTGTGGCAGCTGGGAGAAGCACATAGGAGGAGAGGGCATGGGACGCATGGATCTCAAATTCAAGGTAGGCAGTAGACACAAACAGCGTGTTTCTGCAGGAGACCCCCCAAAATGGTATTGTGTACCTGGAATAGACCTTGAAAGTACACACTAATGAAAAAGATTCAATGCTTCTACAGAATCGCAAAACCAGATTTTAGCAGGTTCACTGCATGTCTGGAAAGTGGGCAATGCGAGCAGCAATTTTTTTTGTGTCACATGACCTACATGTATTTAAGGCTAAAGTTATCTTCTTTTTCTACGGGACTGAGAAGGCGAGTCTACCTGGATGAATCCACCTCTGTAGGTTCAGTGTTACGGCCGTAGTTGAATTTAGAAATTTGGTTAGTGTAGAAAATTACCGTAGAGCAATTGTCGCTTGAGCAAGTGCTGTACATCTCGGGCCGACATATAGGTGATTTTAGAGCATCATAGCAAGTTTGCTGATCAAAAACTGTTTGTTGCAGAGAATCCACCCCTTTTTCTTTCTGAAATTCCTTATGCATGGCATCAACACCAAGAGATCTTCTTAACATGTCTATGTTGAAACTTTCCTGAATAACATAATGAGAAAATCTTAAATGGCCTTTTAAATATTGATATTGTTATTTTTTTCTTTTCTTTCTTTCCCCAGGGTGGTTGCCAGCAGCTGGGTGAAAGACTCCAGGAGAAGATTGGTAGCGACAGGATTGCAATGGGTGATGCTGTGATGCGCATCGAGCAGTCTGCTGACAAGACTAAGGCCACCGTTCACACCAAGTCAGGTCGCATGTTGGAGACGAAGGTCGTCATTATGGCCATCCCAAGCAGAGACATTTGTGAGTTTTTTTATAATAATAATGATAATAATAATCTTTTAAAATTTATTAAGTTAAACCAAAAATGGAAATTCTTTTTGCCTAATTGATCATGAGCCCGGCAGCCACTAAGCAGCGCCAGATCGACGTTGCTCTATCCCTTATTGTTGAACGCCAAACAAGGTAGCAGCAACTCCCGTCTTTTAACGTCTTTTGGTATGACGCGGCTGGGGATCGAACCCACGACCTCCCGGTTGTGAGGCGGACGCTCTACTGACTGAGCCAACACACCAGTATATGTTAATTGAGATTTTTTTTGTTTTTGTTTACAGTCTTTGTGGCTTAGAGAGCATGTATACATGCATGCCTAATGCAGAATGTCCAAAATTCCTGCAATTTATAGTCCTGCAATAATGTGCAGTACTAGTTCATTTACTTTTTACTTTAATGGATCACAAGCCCAGACTGCCATATTGTTTGGAGGGTATGGTACCTATCCAGTCAACCATGGCAATCCAGTGTTTGTCCCATTAGTTGATCAAAGCAGGTAAAGAGTTAAATAAAGAATTTTGCTGTAACTTGTCTGTAGAGAATGTTCTTCCATGGAGCTTCCTACATTGTGTCCATTAATTTCTGTCTTTTCTCTCCTCTGTCTTCCTCTTATACTCTCCCTTTCTCTTTATCATCCTCTCCTTGCTACTTTCTCTCATTCTCACTCTCCCTTTTTATCTTCCCCTCCTCTTTCCCTCTATTTTTACCTGTATTCTTTTCTTTCTGTCATTCACTCTTTCTTTCTCTTTCTCTTTCTTCTCTCATTCTTTCTCTTTCTCTCTCTCTCTGTTTCTCTCTCTCTCTCTCTTCTTTTCTCTAAATCTTACAATCTCAAATTCATACAAATCACGTACCCACCCACACACACATTTTCAGGTAAGGTAGAGCTTGCCCCGCCCCTTGATGTACCCCGTCAGCTTCCTTCTGGTGACTATGGAGTGCACTTCATCGTCACATACAAGAAGGTAAATCTTGACTTCTCTTCATCTAGAGAGTTCTATGTCATATTCTTTGCCAGTTAGTGAAAAAATAAGATATTTTTGATAGGGTACTTCATCTACTTATTTAATATGCTTTTTATGCCTCCGCTACAAAGTAACCGGAGGTATTATGTTTTCGGGTTGTCCGTACGTCCCATTCTCATGATCGCGTTATCTCAAGAACCAATTGATTGATTCCCGCCAAACTTGGGTCGTGTATGTATCTTACAGAGCCAATGAACTGATTAGATTTTGGGGTCACAAGATCCAAGGTCAAGGTCACAGGGCTCATTATGCATGCAAAACTAGCTTGTGATCGCGTTATCTCAAGAACATATTAATGGATTACAGCCAAACTCAGGTCATGTATGTATCTTGCAGAGCCCATGACCTGGTTAGATTTTGGGGTCACAAGGTCAAAGGTCACAGGACTCATTATATATGCAAAAATAGCTTGTGATCGCATTATCTCAAGAACCGATTGATGGATTCCTACCAAATTTGGGTCATTTATGTATCTTGCAGAGCCAATGAACTGATTAGATTTTTGGGGTCACGAGGTCGAAGTTCAAAGGTCACATGGCTCATTATGTATCCACAAAAAGCTTGTGATCGCATTATCATGAGAACCAATAGACAGATTACCATCAAACTCAAGACATGTATATGTATCTTGCTGAGCCAATCAACTGATTAGGTTTTAGGGTCATCAGGTCAAAGGTCATGGGGCTCATTAAGGATGCCTATAAATAGCTTGTGCATGCATTATTATTAAAACCGACAGATGGATTACAATCAAACTTGAATTTTAAAAATTGTTTTTGTTTTGGTTTGTAAAATTGCTCTATGGCGGAGGCATCATTTTCGACTGCGCGCAGTCGAAGTTCCATCTAGTTTTTTTAAAGCACAAAACCAAATGAAAGAAGAAACCTCCCAGAACTATTTGACTCCATTCGTGTTGCAGTATGAACAAAGCTCCTTTAGATGGATTGGGTATCTCTGCCTCAGATTGTAAACAAAATCCTGGATTTAGCTCAAGCTGCATTCATAATTATAAACCTTTAGGTCAGTCAGGAATCCCATGACTTTTACAAGCCGATTGCTCGTCTGATTATCAAGATATTTATGATTGGAAATTGAAATTAAAAACAATGTTTTGATAACGGTTTGTACTTTTATGAGGCACTTCATGATTATTTTGAAGCGCAATTTATTTTGGGCTTCAATATTACACCATATCACAGACACTGATGACAGGTAGGGCCATGCATATCAGATTTAACATTGTTAAACGATGCCTTTAATTAATACATTGCACGTTGCACTATTAATGTTACCTTAATTATATACTATATATCGTAGAGGTGTTGTGGCGTAGTGGATAAGTCGTCGGACTGCGAATCACAGGGTCCGCAGTTCGAGTCCCGCTGCGGCACTAATGTCCTTTGGCAAGACATTGATCTACACTTGCCACTCTCCACCCAGGTGTTAAATGGGTACCGGTAGGAAGGAATTCCTTGAAATGCTGTGAGCGTCGGAATCGGCAGCCTAGCATAGCCAGGTAATGTTGGAGCGCCTTGAGGACCTTGCAAGGTCGATACATGCACTATATAAAAATCCAATATTATTATTATTATTACTATGGCCAATATACTAACATTTTCTTTCCCCTTCCGTTTGTAGAACTTCTGGAGAGACAAGAAGATGGCAGGAGAGTTCCTGAGCGAGGCTGGAACGCTCGGAAGCTTCAAAGACGAGAGGCAGTATCCTATCATTGCTTTCTTTGACCACACCTCAGCCAATGGGAACCCAGCCCTCATGGGTCTATTTGCCGCTCCAAGCTTCGCCAAGATGACCGTAAGTTCCTAAAAAGTCCTTTTTAACCATTACTTTTGTATTTTTTGTTAACATTTATTTCCTTCTCAACGGTACGTCTCTGGAACAAACTCCCCTCGTTCTTAAGAAACAGTATTTCATTAGATTTCTTCAAAAAAACAACTGAAAACTTACCTGTACAACTCCTCTTAAATTGTTGAAAGTCTAAGAGAGCAGCGCCTTGTATCCTTTGGAAAAGGCACTATATAAATCCAATTATTGTTATTATTATTATTATTATTATTATAATATGAAACACAATGTATATGTAACAATGATTTCAACATAAATAATTCAGATAACAGAAGGAGGCGAAGACCCGAAAAGCATAGCTTGTGTTGGGAACCCCCATAATAAGTTAACACAGTTACTGAGAGAAAATTGTAGATATTATTATGAAAATTACATATTGTATTATAACAGAACCTTGATAGGAAAGAAAATATAGTAAATGGAAGAAAAACTGAGAAGAGAATTAAATATAGGAAGGTATATGTTCACTTATAAAGAGAAAGGTAACTCAATTCCATATTTGAGCCCTCCTGGCCTGTCTTGGCCTGTGCATGTGTCTACAATGACATGTACATCATAAAAATGACAAAGTGTTACAATACTAAAAAAGACAGCGCGTACATAATTTATCATTAAAAATAAGCAAAATCAACAAACAAACAGCAGCTTCATCCGACAACATCGTCCTGGGGAATAAACAGATGGTACCTAGCAACAGCTGAGGCGTGTATGTAAGTGATCAAAATAAATAATCGGTCATAAATAATGTTATTGAATTCTACAAGAAGTCACTTTCACACATAAATACAAGAAAGGGTATTAATACCAGAGCAATTAAATACCTTTTTGCCTTTTGGGAAAAAATCTGCAAGGAGAGCAACTTCTGTAGGATAGATGGTAAGGTGTTCCAAATTTTTGGTCCAGAGTATTGAATATCAAATTGAAATCTTTGGGTTCTATGTTTAGGGAGCTGAATGTTGGCAGCACTTCTCGTACTACCTAAATCCAAAATTTCTAAACGACAGGTTCTCAAAATTAGTCATAAAAAATTTGTTTGAAAATGCTTCAAATTATGGCTCATTTTGCACCAAAGATCATTAGAGCTGGGCCCCGGGCTGCAAGGGGCTTAATACTACAGAACAACCTGGACTACAGGTAAATGTATATTCAGGGCTCATAACTCACTAGAGCTTTGAGAAAGATTGGCAGAATAGACCCAAATAAATCAGAGAGATCTGATGGATGGATCTGATGGATACTCTTTATGAACAGGTCTTGGTTTAGTTCTCAGCTAATATCTTTTAGCAAGAAACTACTCACCAATTGCAACTCGGTATTTGTTTTCTTAATGGAGAAGATGTCCTTTGTTTTCTTGTGGATTCCATTTGGCTTTACTTCAGTCAGAAAGTAATGCTACTGTGTATTAATTTTTAATCAGACCATCTTGATGTTTATTTCATGTTACACTTGATTATTAAAGGTAACTAAGCCGAATAAAGTTGCACAAAAAGATGCGCCTGGAATGTAAAATGAAAGATTTTCAAAAATTGTGTTATGGAATACAGGTAGGACCTTATCAAAATGACATTTTGTTGAATTGTTAAATTGAAAATTCACCAACAATTTTGCCATTTGTGTTCCAGCCACGTCTTTTTGTGCCATGACCTTTCGCTTAGCTACCTAAAAATAAAACATTCACAGTAAAATAGCTCAAGGGACATGAACAATGGACAAAATATTTGATTGTATTTCTGCATTTTCCCCAAAACAATACTGAATAACAAAGAATATATAAACGTAAGGTACATTGTATAATGCAAAATATACAAACAATAATAACTTAATGTCAAAATGTTATTGACATATTAACATATAATAACAAACTAAATATTTCTATAATATATCATTATTAATTTTAAGTATTATTTGAACTATCTGTCGAAAAATTGCAGGAGACCGCAATCATAAGCAATGCTTGACTAGGATGGCGGCCTCAAAAGAAAATGTTTAATTAAGGTGAATTTTAAAATGAAAATGTGTTCAAACGATTCATTTCATTCATACATTCATTTTTCAAATATTTATTGCAACACGGATCACTTGCTTCAGCCGTTGGCTGTTCCTAAATAAAATACAATGAAAATAAATGTAACAAGCGTGATGAATAACCTAGTATAATGATTAATAGATACAAACATGAAATGAAATAAAATAAAGTAAAAAATTAAGTTAAAATTAGGTATTGAAACTTAAAAATTAATATATATTAAAAAGAATACACCTCATGATGCAATAAATAAAGAAAAACAAGCGAATTAGCAAATTGGCAAACATTGATTATTACTGTATTGAATAGGCGGCTAGTGTGATTGCACAGCATATTGCACAGATTGCGAACAAAAGGCATAACAGAGAGAGATCGATAGAAGATAGAGAGAAATGGCATCATAAACAGCTTCGGTGATGATGTCAATCACTTTGAGTGAGCTCAGCGCTTCGGTTAGTTGCTGTTTTATGGCACATTTCAGGTCATTGTCTGGTGTAATTGACTTCACGTCTGGCTGACCAGCTGACAAGACATCAGACTGACCAGAGACCGGCCCCGTGGAACTAGGGACGTTATCTGAATCATATCCGTTACGTTTCTCTGTGTCCTGTTTCGTAGCCATATTTGTAGTTGCCAGTACCTTCAAAATTGTCTCTTTTGTTGTCCTTTCTCTTGAAAATTGTATTTTTTTTTCTTTTCAAATTTTTTCACTTGGATGATTTGTCCTCCGGTTTTGTCATCATTCAAATGAGTGTAATCCATGAAATTCAGGGAAAGCTTAATGGACTCGTCTTCTCCGTTGTTTGGACCATAGGAGTTAATTTTGATGTATGAGTACTATCCAGGATTTTCTATCTGCTTAACTAGGAAATAGTTCACTAAAGGAAATCATTATCTTCTTTTTGTTGTAGAGTGATGAAAGGAAGCCCATAGCCATTGATCTCTTAGCCAGTGTATTAGGAGATGAAGCAAGGGAAATCATTGAATACAGAGATGAGGTGAGTATCCAGGCCTCCGTGAGAGGGCCTAGTAAGGTACCTTGAGGTACTCCACAATTACACAAAAATATGGAATAGCTCCTCAATTTTTAAAGTAATATTTCCATCCATTCCATGAATTTACATGCTCTGGGCCCGTCTTATTAATCCAAAGTTCCAATCATTCGCAAGTTTGCAGTCTCCTATATCTTTATGTTTGCAATTGAAATCAGTCACAAATAAGTTGCGACAGGGCCCAGGTCCAATTTTTAGCCTAACAGGTCGTTTCGAATTATGTCTTGTTGATGGAGCTCATATTAATAATCTGTCTCAAATGTGTTTGCCAGATATTTCTGGAATTCCTAACATAAAGTTCATAAACCCTTCACAAAGCTACATGCACTTAATAGTTGTTTCATCTTAAACCTCCAAATATGACAAATGTTGGAGGTAATTTGTTGAGGGTGATGTTTAGATTGATATTGTTCTTAGGATTTGAATTGACAAAACATTAAGAAATCCAAGGGGAAAAAAGCACAAGCTGAAAGTAGACCCCTTTAGCTTTGTGCCATCAGTTCCCAGCATTTCATATATTGTCTTTAAATTCATTTATAAGAGATACAGTGAGTGTAAAAAGGAAATATGATGTATAAAATCATCAACACTATTGTCAGATTCTTCTGTGAAGAGGTTAAATGAATGTGTAGACTTACTCTGATGCTTTTCTTTCTTTACCTATAGTCTTGGTGCCGATCGGCAACTGGAGAGGAACCTGTTAAAATGAATGCTGGTCTGAAGACATCCGAGGTGTTAGACTCTTTGACGAAATCTCATGGATGGTAGGTCTCCTTTCATTGATTCATCCTCTTGAATTATTTAAAATAAATAAATAAATAAAAAATAATCTTTTAAAGTCCACTCCAAATTTTTTAAAACCGAAAATGGAAATTCTTTTTGCCCAAGTGATCATGAGCCTGACAGCCACTGAGCAGCGCCAGATCGACGTTGCTCTATCCCTTATTGTTGAACGCAAAACAAGGTAGCAGCAACTCCCATCTTTTAACGTATTTTGGTATGACGGGGCTGGGGTTCAAACCCACGACCTCCCGGTTGTGAGGCGGACGCTCTACTGACTGAGCCAACACACCGGTTATAAACAATCAATTACCTTATCCTGTTCAAATTGGCAACACTCTTAACCTCGCTGCTAAAAGCGGGAGAAACCTTGTGTACACTTGTCAGCATATGAATGAATGTTACATCATGCAGTTACAATGTTGTATGGGAAAACAGGGATTGTGCATTTAAGATTTATTACCAGTTTGAAGAGTGTAATGGTTATAATAATAATGATATTATACAGTATAACTGCAAGTTAAAATCTGTTCCTATACTGACAAAAAATTCCATTCCTTAATTATCATTGTATTATTGTATTTTATTTGTCCCTTTTTTGTTTTTTGTGTGTAATTTTTAGGATCATCTACATGTACCTATAAGTTTCTGTAACTTTTTTGATGATCCAACCACTTCGTAATTTCCTTTATTGTAGTTTCCATTTCATTGGTTTGTATCTTTGTTTGCAAGAAATATTTTATTGTATTCTTTGCCTTTGTATGTTTTTATGAAAGTGGTGAATAAATTCAATTCAATTCATATCATTATTTTTTGAACACATAGTAAGATTTGCCTCATGTTTGGAGGCAGATTTTCTCAAGCCAATTCTATTTGTTTTCTTTTTTTATTTCTTATCTCAGTATTCATTTTGCTGGTGAGGAGACTGGAGCTGTGTGGCTAGGGATGATGGAATCTACCGCAGAGGCGTCAACCAGAGTCGTCAAGGAAGTTCTTGCAGTCCTTTGAAAATCATTCCATTATCATTCCATTATCATTCCAATGATTGAAGCGAAGTCATGTGATGGTAACATGACAAGCTCATGGTAATCACATGGTAGTGACATGGTATTCGCATGTTAGTGACATGGTATTCGCATGTCAGTGACATGGTATTCGCATGTTAGTGACATGGTATTCGCATGTCAGTGACATGGTATTCGCATGTTAGTGACATGGTATTCGCATGTTAGTGACATGGTATTCGCATGTCAGTGACATGGTAATCACATGGTAGTGACATGGTATTCGCATGTTAGTGACATGGTATTCGCATGTCAGTGACATGGTATCCGTTTGGTAGTGCCATGGTAATCGCATGGTAGTGACATGGTAATCGCATGGTAGTGACATGGTAATCAGATGGCAGTGCCATGGTAATCAGATGATAATAATGGCCACCACTTTCTCCACCACCAGAGATTATACTGAACATTTTGTGTAATTTTATATATGTTTTGGTGGATGAATTTCAATGTTGACTGATTGTTCAATCAACTAATCCTACAGTACTTATAGTATTGACATTGGTATTAAAAAAAAAGAGAGATGGTATTATGGGATAGAAAAGGAGTGTAATCCAAGCACACTTTCATTTCTGAAACCATGAAAGTGCCTGTGTGATAACAGACTTGTTGAAGAACTGCCTTCGGTTGACACAAATCTGTCAAGTTCAAATGAAATAGAAATATATTGAAAGTGTGTGCTTTTGTAATGAATTTACATGTACAATGTATGTAACCTTTTTTGAAAAATAATCCTTTAAATTATTAAACAATGTAATAATTTTGTTGTTGGAGTAAAAAATAGAAGAAAAAAGATAGTATATGCAAATATTGTACCATTCATTTTATTTGTTTTGTGAACTTGACTAAATACCACATACATGTTTTATTATTAAAAGGACAATCCATTGGCTGTGCAAAATGAAAGATAAAATCATGATTTTCAATTTCCATTTAGCAATGGTCAAGACATCAGTACTATGATCCAATTTTGAAACAAATGTGATCAAGAGATATAAATAGAAACTGTTTTTATTTGATTGATTGTGTCAACCTATCATTGGTACCGAGACGGTATGATTACTAAATTTGATTGTCTTTTTATTTTGAAGATTATTTTTCTCTATTTAAGTGTAATTATCAACAATTTGAAAATGTATATGTATATAAATTACTATTCCAAATGGTATTATATAGACTAGCATAATTACGTGATTGATTTGTGTGCCTGTAATATTTGATGTTACATTTGTTATGCCTCCACCCACCGAAGGTGCTGCTGGAGGCATTATGTTTTCGAGCTGTCTGTATGTCCATCCTGCTTTCTCGTCAATGCGATATCTCACGAACCACTTGAGATATGAACTTCAAACTTGATGATAGTATGTATCACCATAGGAAGACAATCTGATTAGATTTTGGAGTAACTAGATAATCAAAGGTCACAGAGGTCATCTTATGAAATTCCAGGTATTCCCTTTGTTATCGCGAGTATTTTGTGTGATATGTCACAAATAATTCCGTCCATTTTCTATACTGAATTTAGGGCGGAGGCATATAGCAGACGCAGTGGCATTTGTCTTCAATGTTGTTTTCGTTCTTTAACAGAACATTTGCAATCGCTGATTTTGCCCATTTGTTGTCTTCCTGATTTCTACTCCTAGAGTATACAATTTGTTACTTTACTATGTCAATTTATATCTTTATGAAATTTTATATTTTTTTAAATAATTGTATTAATTTGATCATTACTTGATATAACTTTTTTGTTATATTTTCTATATTATTCATTGCTTACATTTACATTTCTTTTTGAATGTTGAATATATGTGCGCTATGAATTTATCCAATATTATGATGATGATGAGGAGGAGGAGGATGATGAGGATTATTATTATTATCATTATTATTACAATCATTAGTATTAGAGGTAGTAGTATTGTTATTATTAGGGACTTTTAGATTTGCACAACTACAACGTGGATTGCTACGATCGACGTCCTTTTAATGCACTGCTTTGAATGGACGTCACACGTATCAGTCCACGCAAATCTAAAAGTCCCTGTTAGTAGTAGTGTTTTTTCAATATTTTAATTTTGTTTATGATTATGATGAGGATGATGATGATGATTATTATTATAATTATTATTATTATTATTAGTAGTAGTAGTAGTAGTACCTCACCTGGGGCAAGTATGGCAAATATAGATGAATGTCTTGCCAAACAATGTAATAGCCATGGCAGGGATTTGAATCCTGTACCATTCGTTCAATGAAATAGTCCAGTGACTTGTCAATTAAACAACTACACTTATATGTATATTAAAGAGTGTATAGAAGAAACATCTTCTCTTATAATATATTGAATTATTTATATTGATTATTGTTTTATCAAAATGTATGTAAGTGCTTTTGTCAGTTAACTGGTGAAGGGCTTTGTAAGAAACAGTCATTATTATTATTATGAAATAATCTGTAATGACTTTGTGTCAAAATAAAATCATGGATATGTTAAAATTATTGCTTAAAGTGTAAAAAATGTGTATGGTCAGAGTGTCCATGTTTTTACATACAACTGTGCAATTCTAACATTACAAAATACGCAACAAACACAAAATCTCCATATCTATATTAGTGATAGCTCTTCGTGCAAAAAACTTGTGAAAAATAATGAGAATAGTCTTTAATAACTAAGTGGTTTTATACACATGCCTCCAAATGCCACCTTTCAAGTAAAACAAAACTCCTGAAATGCGTGTGAAGTGAGTGCGCAGACATGGGAACCTTTGTTTTTGCAATGTCAAAATGACGCCATTGCCTTATTGTGAAAATGGCATTGTTTTTATTTGAATTTTGATGAGATTTTGGGCACATATACTCTCGAAAGATGACTTAATTTCTTACATTTGCACCCCATGGGTGTAACTAAAAAAAGTATTCATTTTCATATTTCAAGACATAATGATAATAAATAGTCGCATCATTTGCATCAATATTAATACTTATGTTTTTTAAGTACTGTGCTGTTTTTATTCTGGCCTTCTCACATTTGTTGTTTCTTACCAGGTTTCCTTTCACATCACTTTAGGGGAGAATGGAAAATGTTGATTAATATATTTCCAAAGGAAGTTATTGCTGTGGTAAGGATTTGAACCCTACACCTTGTGATCCATGGTCAGATCAGCTAGACCATGACATCTCTATGAATCATAGAATTCAGCTCAAGGGCTATATCTCTACCTATATTGCTTTGTCGTTAGAAATCACGTTCTGATCATGTACCATAATACATTATTTTATAAAGTTTGCATATTCTGTCGTGTTTGGGATCGGTGTATTTGTAGTTATAGTAATGTTTAGAGGTACATCAATAAAGAGGTGCTGAGACTTTCTTTGAAGTGTAATGTACAAGAGTATAATTTATTCACTCTAAAAACGATGAGTCACATAGTCCAGATTCACAAGTATATTTACAAGATATAGAGCAGACAAAGTATAGGTACTATAGGTGATGGTCTAAACTCCTCTCCTCTCTTTCATGAGGGGTGCACACATTATATTCCCAAGTTCTCTCTTTCATGAGGGGATGTACAAAGCTATTGAAATTTCTTTGGGGTTAGTTTCTATTCAATGCTTAGGTGATCATGTTAGGATTAAACTTAATCAAGATTGAACTTGATCAAGATTAAACTTAAAGATGAAGTTGAGTTCTAGTCATGCGATTGCATTGTGAAAGAAACGGTGTGGAACCGACCAGAAAAGGTTGATCATCTAGCATATAAGAATTTGTGTGTATTGCAAGGTTCCGGAATCATCAAAATGAAAAGAAATGTGGCCAAGTCTTGGTAAAGTTACAAACACTTGCACAGAAAGATGTATATGGGACTACACGGACACGTGGCGTAAAAAGCCGGCCCCTGATTTTTACGATGTTACATGCATATTTAAAATATGAAGGCATTTGAAGAGCCATGCTTTTCAGGGAACATGTCTTAACTGATGTTCATCTACACTTGCATAATAAGAATGAGTAATGCTCACAAATTATTTTTCACCTCTTCCCAGAACTCAACCTTCTCTTTAATCCAATTTGTTGGTCAAAATCATTGCTTTTAATGATTATTTAATTGCACTTTTGTAATACATAATCTTTGTGGTAGAACATCTTAGAGTGTTACATTGTTTTGAGATCTAGACCATTGGCTTCCAGTGCAATTAACAGTTTGAGAGCTCAAAGCTAAATTTAATTGTTCATGCTGATACTTATAGTACAGTTTTCTCTTTCATCAATTTCAAAATATTTATATTTTAAGATATATTTGTTGAAACAAATCAAATGATAATGTTTGCTTATTCAAGAGAAGTCTTAAATATGTTGACAATTACTGGTATGTATAATTCAACTCTCACTATACTTCCAGTAGAGTATACTACTTGAGCAGATGGACTCATATGATAAATGTTTATCTGATGTGTCACAAATTCTGTGCCAATAAAACTATTACGACGGGTCATGAAAGGTAACATACAAAGAGATATATTTTGAGTTTTGTTTTAATTCATTACAAATACTGCCTCACGTTACGTGTTAGTCTTTCTGTCATTTTAAGCCTTAACATATAAATGCTGCTTTATCAGTCTATCAATCTATCTTTTACTAATGCTTGTCAACGCTAACCTATGGAGACTAAACTGTGCATATCCATGAACTTTCCTGCTTAAAAAAGAAAACGCAAATCCAGATGCTGTCAAAGCTAAGTTTTTGTAATGTACACATGTGAAATTCTAAACCAACAGGTCAACACTTGGACTCCCCTTTTCTTTGAATTCTCTCTTGTTCGTATCTGCCCTTCTACTTTATTACCGGTAATATACAAAGATCAGTGAATTTAATGTCTTTTCTTCGGAAAGAAGTATTGTTTGGACAATACAAGACGGACCAAGACCATTAATATATTCTCCTGGTACACAATGCAAATTGATCAATTCTCTTGCAAAAGTAGATCATCATCTTGGGAAATTAATGTAAAGTTGTGGTCAAGTGGATACGTCGCCGGACTGTCGATCACAATGTCCGCGGTTCGAGTACCGCCGCCGCACTAACGTCCTTTGGCAAGACATTGATCTACATTTGCCACACTCTACCCAGGTGAAGTAAATGGGTACCTGGTAGGAATTTATTCCTTGAAACGCAGCGCGCGTAACAGCTGCACTGCTAAAGCCAGGGTAATTGTGCTGCATTATTGCAGAGCGCTTAGAGACTTCTGATAAAGTAATTGTTAGGCGCTATATAAGCAAATATAATTATTAGTGTATCCAATAATATAATTGCTTGTAACATTAAGAAGTAATAACGTCTGTATTAAATCATATGATTGAATTCCTTGAATTTGACAACGTCGGTGGTTAGCAACTCAAGTGATTAGTATTGGAAATTTGTCAACCCTATGCACATTATAAACGGCCTACAATCGATGCATGTTAAAAGAACATGGGAATTAGTGTTGTAATCAGGGGCGGATCTAGCCGGCGACAAGGGGGGGGGGCAATCTCGAGAATTTTTTATTTTTAGCGCCGGGGAATAAGCGATAAGCGGGGGGGGGCCGTTTTTTTTTTTTTTTTTTTTTAAAGGTTAAATTTACGTTATTATCCTATTTTTTTTAACAGTTTTGGGGGCTAGGGGGAAGGGCAGGCCGGAAAAATCGCCACGTGGATCCGCGCCTGGTTGTAATTGTATGTCGCAGTGAGTCAATAGCTAGTGCAATTTTCTCCCATTTTCCGCCTTTTTAAATCACTT